AATGAACACCCATGGCTCCTACGACAAACAAGAAGTCTGCATCTAGAAAAATTGCCACAGATTAAAAGTGTTCTCTGCTAACATGGTTTCAAGGAACCTAAACACATTTATGAAAATCCTTGCCTTTCATATCTTTCGTGGGCAGCAGAATTGCCTCTCACATGTAACACCCATCAAGGTGGATTTCATTTGGTTTAGCCACTGTAAGTTGAATCTCCTTGTGTAAATATGTACAAATGTATTTGCATTAATTGGTACAGTGACTAATCCTATGTTTTGGAAGTATCCCCTGGTCTTCTGCCAGAGAGAAATATCCGCTTTTTATTTTAACGTCTAGGGGATGCATGAACCCCTTTGTTATCTGATTCCAAAAGTTGTTTGCTCCCCAACCAGGAGATATCTACGGAGAGAAAAGAGCGCCCCCTAGTGAAACAATGTTTCCCAACATCCCTTTAACCCTGAAGTTCCATCTTCTTCCTGTCAGAAAATAATCTGGCCCCAATAAGGGGCGATTGCATTGTATGTTTTTTAATGTTTATTTATTTATCTTGAGAGAGAGAAAGAGAGAGAGAGAGAATGAGCAGAGAAGGGGCAGAGAGAGATGGAGACAGAAAATCCAAAGCAGTCTCCACAGTGTCAGCACAGAACACCACACTGGGCTTCAACTCACAAACTGTGAGATGATGACCTGAGCTGAAACCAAGAGTCAGAGATTTTACCCACTGACTCGCCCAGGGGCCCAAAGGGGCAATTGCAGTTTGGAGGCCCAGTGCTCTTGATTGTTTTAGAGATGAGAAGAATGTATTGGCTCCAAAATGATTTCTAAATTCCAAAACTAAATTAGTAAATCTGATTAAATGTCTGCAAAATGGGGCATATTAACTGGTCGTAAGCAATTCAACTCTTAAATAGTGATTTATAAATTACATTTAATGTGGGATATTGGTGCTCACTTTGGCAGCACATATACTAATGTGGGATATTGGTTCATTTTAATAGCTTCAATGACAGGGCCTATAGAGTTAAAGGCCTATTTTCCACAATTCACCTCTCTTAAATATTCTTCATAGCTATCAGCATGAGACCTTTAAGCCTTGACATTACTGTCTTAAAGACATTACGGGCATTTGGGTGGCTCAGTCAGTTAAGCCTCCAACTTCAGCTCAGGTCATGATCTCACAGTTGGTGGCTTCAAGCCCTGTGTCCGGCTCAGTGCTGGCAGCTCAGAGCCTGAAGACTGCTTCAGATTCTGTGTCTTCCTCTCTCTCCACTCCTCCCCCATGCACACTCTTTTTCTCTCAAAAATAATAAACATTTAAAAATTTAAAAAAATAATAATTTAGGGGTGCCTGGGTGGCTCAGTCAGTCGGATGACCAACTCTTGACTTCGGCTCAGGTCACGATATCGCAGTTCGCAAGTTCAAGCCCATCATCAGACTCTGCGCTGACAGTGTGGAGCCTACTTGGGATTCTCTTTCTCTCTCTGCCCCTCACACATGGTCTCACTCTCTCTCTCTCTCAAAATAAATAAATAAACTTAAAAAAATTTTAAGACAACAAAACAAGATTTTATACATTGAAAGTGCTTGCTAAAAGCTTACACATACTCCCATTTAATTCATTTAATGTTCACAACAGTTAAAAATTAAGAAAGAATGAATTAAAATTTTTGGATAAGATTATTTTTTTTTGCCAAAGTACAAAATACTGTAAAATCTGAAGAGAAAAATCATAATCAAAGCAGACTAGCAAATACAGTTCAAATGAAAACAAACTACTAATTTGAAATGGCATGTGTAGACTTCGATGGTGAGGCTGAGTCAAATACTCTGAAGAGGAGCTGTGTTACCTGGGACAAGTTCTGTCACCTCTCTGTGCCTCAGTATCTCCAACTGTAAAACGGGGATAAAAGAGTACTTACCTAACAAGATTGTTGTTATGTTTAAATGTGTTCATGTCTGAAACATTAAAAATAGTGTTTGGCATATAACAAGAGTTCAGTGAGTGCTAGCATTTAATTATTAGTCAACCAAACCATATCGATCTTTGATTCTCATAAATACAATTTAAGATTTTGGATAAATTAACTCTCAACAAAACAACTGAAAACATTCACCCAACAGTCATGACTCTTTCATTCTAAAACTTTATTTGGGAATAATTTGAAACTTAGAAAAAGTTACAAAAATAAAAGTAGTTCAGGGAACACTCATGTGCTGCTTACCCAAATTTGTTTATTGTTAACATTTTATCCATTTGCTTTATTTGCTCTACCATTTACCGCTGCAGATCACGGCAAATAGTCTGTGTCCCTACTTATTTACAATTTATGATGTATTCATTTTCTATCTCTTTTTTTCCTTCATTTTATATTTCTTACTAACAAATTATCACAAGTTCGGTGTCTTAAAACAATATCATTTGTAAGTTCACAGTTGTAAAGTTCAGAAGTCTGGGCCCAGCATTACTGGATTCTCCACTCAGGGCTTCCAAGGCTGAAATGAAGATACTGACCAGGTTGAATTCCTTTCAGGGATTCCTTTCTTTGTTGTTGGCCCAGTTCAGTCCCTAGCAGCTAGATGAGGAGGTCTCCGTTTCCCTGCTGGCTGTCAGCTGTGGGCGACTCTCAGCTCCTACAGGCCATCCACCTTCATTGAGACATGGCTCCAGTCATCTCCAGAGCCAGCAATGGTGAATCTCTCACGGTAAATCCTTCTCAAGCTTTGAGTCTCCCACACTCCCAGTTCCTTATAAAGTCTCGCCTGATTAGGTCAAGCTCACCCAGGATAATCTGTCTTTCTTCAAGCTGACTGATTTAGAGCCTTAATTAGATCTGCCAAATCCCTGCACACTAGCACGGTAGATTCGTGGTTGAATAGCTGAGAGAAACCATATGCCTCAGGGGCTGGGAATTTGGGGAGCCAGCTCAGAATCCTGCCTACCACGTATGATGAGACCCTTTTTAATTCTACGTATTGGTTTGCTAGGGCTGTCATAGCAATATAGCACCAACTGAGTGGCTTAAACAACAGAAATTAACTCTCTCACCGTTCTGGAGGCTGGACATCCAAGGTCCAGGTGTCAGCATGTTTGGTTTCCTGAGGCCTCTCTCCTCAGCCTGTAGATAGTTGCCTTCTCACTGTATCTTCACGTGGCATCTTCCTCTGTGCATGTGCATCCCTGGTGTCTCTCTTCTTATAAGGACATCAGTCATGTTGGATTAGGGCTTTGACATATGAATTTTAGGGAGAACACAATTCATTACATAAGAGTCTAATAACAAAACCAAGAACTAGTATTTCAGCTACCAGGCAGGTACCATGCCAAACATCTTTTGTAGGCATAATTGTAACAAAATTGCATGCCATCATAAGCCATTATATAAAATCCAACTTTATCAAAACGTTTCCCATATTCTTGATGAGAAATTCCATAAGATTTCTATTGTGATCAGATAGAGCCACCTGTCTCTACCATAATGTGCTTCCCATGTTCCATTTTGAGGGTGGTTTCATTCACCAATGAATTTTATTGATCATCTATGAACTTGGTACAGAAACACAAAGATGAGTAATTAAAATTCCTGCTCTCAGAGAGTATAGCCTAACAGGAAAGACATATTTTATGTGCGTCTCCATGCCCATTCTGAAATATCTTACACAGAAAGTGTCAATTATATTTATAGAACCATCCTGCACATTTTAGTTCTTGTGAAAGCTGAAGCATTGAAAATTAATGATTTCAAGAAAGGAAACTCAGCACGGGGGTGGGAGGGAGGCGCCTGGGGGGCGCAGTCGGTGCATCTGACTCTTGACTAGCTCAGGTCATGATCTCATCGTTGGTGTGTTTGAGCCCCACTTGGGGCTCCTTGATGGCAGTGAGGTGCCTGCTTGGGACTCTCTGTCTCTCTCTCTCAAAATAAATAAATAAACTTTTAAAAAAAAGAAAGAGTAAAATCTGAGTATTTGATTTTTGTATTATCTTCTTGAGCTGCCTCAAACTGCAGCACCAATTCAAATATATGTAGCTTTATTTTTTAATTATTTTATTTTAATTCCAGTATAGTTGACAGTGTTATGTTAGTTTCAGACTGTATGTAGTTGCAGGCTGAATTCTCTGTGACTGGAGGAAAAAAACACCTGGGATTTGAAGGTAAGAGGCAATCATAACATAAAAGAACTGCACCTGATTGGGTAAGGGTGTTTCAAATTCCACTTGCTCTGTTCAGGAGACAAAAAGACATTCCTTAAATAAGACGGGTGGGGATATCCTTTGTTTTCTTATTGTCCAACGTGTTCACATTTTTTTGAAAAGCACAATGCTTTCTAAAGCATTTTATTAAAAAAACTGTTTTAAGATAGGTAAAACCAGGGGTGCCTGGGTGGCTCAGTCAGTTAAGCGGCTGACTTCTGCTCAGGTCATGATCCCAGGATGTGAGTTCCAGCCCCACATCTGGCTCTGTGCTGACAGCTGGGAGCCTGGAGCCTGCTTCTGATTCTGTGCCTCCTTCTCTCTTTGCCCTCCCCTGCTTGTGCTCTGTCTCTCAAAAATAAATAAACATTAAACAAACAAACAAAAAAAACTTTAGGATAGGTGAAACCAAATTCATGCAATTCAAAATACTTTTCAAGAGTCTAATACACATATGGCCACTAAGCTTATGGCTGCTAAGCACATTACTCGTGAATTGATCACTCCCCGTCTCGGTCCTTCAGCACAGAATGCTGAGGATAACAGTGATATCAGTTTATTTTTATTTTTATTTTTTTAAGTTTAAATCCAAGTCCGTTAACATACAGTGTAGTCTTCGTTTCAGGAGTAGAACCCATCCATATGACACCCAGTGCTCATCCCTAAAAATGCTCTCCTTAATAATGCCCATCCCCCATTCAGCCTTCCCCCGCCCCCTCCAGCAACCCTCAGTTTGTTCTCTGTATTTAAGAGCCCCTCATGGTTTGCCTCCTTCTCTGTTTTTGTCTTATTTTTCCTTCCCTTCTCCTATGTTCAACGCCTTCACTTCCTTCGCTGCTAACACAGAGACCTCTGTTGTGCAGGCAAAGGCAGCACTTGGCAGGTACTGGAGGAAATCTCCAGATTTGCGGGCCAAGAGCTTCTCAGCAGTAGGCGGGGTGCGGTGATTGAGCGCAGGCGAGGGGCCCCTTCCCTGCGGTCTCCTCCCACGCTCCCCTCTCCCTTTTTCCTAGTGACCCGTGGGCAGGGGGCTGAGTTCCGGATGCCCGCCCTGGCTCTTCTCTGGGTTCCCACGGTCTGCAGCAGCTTGGACTAGGCGGAGGCGGAGGCCCAGGGGAGGGACCTGAGGGGCCAGGGCCCAGCCCCTTCTCGCCTCGACCCCCAGCCGGGCCCACCTCGCCAATTGCGCCCGCGGGGCTGATAAAAGGCCTGTGCGCCACGCGCGCTCAGTCGGGCTCAGCTGCAGCTCGGCTCCCCTGGGCGCTTCCCTTTTCCCGTCTCCCAGCGCTGCTAACTGTGGGGCCTCCACCCATGGAGGAGGAGCAGACCTACCTGGAGCTGTACCTGGACCAGTGCGGCGCCCAGGTGAGCCCGGAAGCTGCCGCCACTGTCCCAGACGACAAAGCGCGTCCCCGCCCGATTGCTGAGCGCCCAGCCCTGAGCCCGCAGGGTTTTGCCTTCATTACCTCCTACGGAAGTCCTAGAGACCGTAAGAGGTGGGCTTGATTGTCCTCCCCTTTACGTTGAAAGATAGAAGCTTCCAGAGGGGAAAAAACTTGCCACGGTTGCCAACCAGAAGTGGAACCTGGTATAGTGTGACTCCGGAGCCATATGGTTGGATGCCCCATCACGGTTATAAAGACACGGGCACGCAGAGTTCGCTTCTGTGTCTCCTGTAGCCACTTCTGTTTCCAAACTGTCTCTGCTTTGTTAGGACAAACAGGCAGACGATCCCGCGCAGCGCTGATATCACCCTTTCAAGGGGTAGCAGCCTTGGACGCTAAGAACACGCCTCAAAAAACCATCTCCCGGGTGGCTACGGGTGGAGTTGGTGGTCGGCGGGGTGGGGGGATGGGGCACAGATAAGGGTCGCACAATGTGAATCGGAGACACCTGTGGCTTCCTTCAGTTCGCAATTCTTTTTAAAAATTATTATTATTAAAAAGCCTTTAGGGTCAAGTATTGTAGAAAAGAGAGTGAGGAATCTTCACAAAGAAAAACAAAAGGGCAACTCTTGGGTGGGGGGGCGATTTTTTTAAAAGATGGCAATTAGCACCGAGGTATAAGTAGTGAAGCCGCATAGCGTTTCCCCTGGCAAATAAAACCCCACACAGGAACGATGGTGAGCCGATGGTTCTGCAAAGATAGTTTAACAAACTATTTCTTCAGATACAAGGCCAAAGATGCAGTGAATGTGCTGTAAGTATAACCTCTAAATTGTGTTCCTCGGGAAACTTGAAAGGAGGCTGCCAAGCTTCCTTTGCCTTAAAACATCCTCCTTGGATATCTTGTTGCCATTGCCTTAAGATTCCTTGCGGAAGTTGGGTTACCTGAGTGAGAGCTTCCTCCCCTCTCAGCTGCTTTGAAGGGAAAAAGGAGGGGAGACACCAGAGTGTTGCAGATAGCAGTGCTTTGGTGTAAACTGGCTGATCGGACTTTCCAGCTAGTACTGGAGAGGCCAATAAAACAATGGGGAGAAATCCAGGCCATTGTCCCCACCTCACTTTTCTTAAAACTCCTCTGTGGGTGAGGGTAAATGGGGGAGAATTCTGTAATTCGAAATGAAATCTAGTGCAAAATCGTATCTCCAGAGAATAACTACATTCCTCTAAACAAGTGTTTCTTTGAACGATTAGTCACCCCTGCCATCTGCTGGACTTAAGAGTAACAGAACAATTCAGTAGGATCCAGCCAGTTTATGTTAGCTTGAGGTAGCTTTGTCCCCAAAAAGACCCGACATGGGATGTTCGTGAGTGTTCAGTTGTTAGAAGTCCGATCTTCTAAGGTATGAGGTTATCTTGCAGGCAGTGCTCAAAATCTGGAATGTAGGTCTGCAACTTGGGTGAAGCAGGTGGCAATGTATGTATCAAGGTAATCGATTCTTTTCCATAAAACCCATGAATTTTACATTAGCTGCTTCCTTCAGTTACATACCTTATTCCCTCGGTTGATATTAATAGAAGTTGAGCAGCCTTCCCTGGACTGGAAATACAATACATTGATTTAAACTATTCTTGCCATTTAAATTTCAATAACTGTTTTCCTATTGTAAATTCATGAAACTAGAACATTTGCTCATCTCTCCTGTGATGAGAAAGAATAACCTTAGGTCTTCAGTGGAGTATTGATTAGCACTCAGGACTCCATCTTAAACTTCGTTCACTTTTCTTCTTGAAATAAGAATTTAAAACTCTAAAAGAATACTTAAATCAACTAACATTTATAATCAACTTATGAAATACAGTAAATCTATTAAAAGTACATACAATTTTTAAGAATTATTTTGTCCATTGAGGCATTTTATTTGCACATATAAGCTACATCCCTAGAAAAAGAATTCCAGGATTTTCCCTGCTGTGTGTTTTCATCTGTCTTCTTCATGGTCCATGATGCCAGCTGAGGTTATCAGTACGGTGAAACCAAACTGGTGGGATAGGAGGAGGTTCTTCTGCTATTTTTCTAGATCTTTGAGTTGTCATATCTGGGGCTGATCACTCCATGCTTGTTTAACCTACCTGTGAGATTCACAGCAATGTTCCCAGCTCTGTGATCGTTAAGGATTTCAAATTCACCAATGCAACCATACTTCATCATCACAGTTAGGAAGTGGATGAGGAGTTTGGAGCATGGCCTAATAAGGACCTGGCGTTTGCCTCTCTTTTCAACATTGTTAATGCTCTTGAGAGCTTCTGCTAGGACATCCATGCGCACCATTAAGGAGGCACAGAAAGAGGACTCAGAGCACACACAATTTAGAGTATGATTGCTCCGTTTCCTCTGCTATAAAATTAGAGTGGTAACTTCCTATGGGTCTACTGCAGGAAAACTATTTTATGAAAAATGTTTTCTCTACATGTTAAGATCTACTTCCTGGTTCTGTTAAGTGTGCTTTAACCCTGTGATATAACTTAGTGACACCTTATGGAAGGAGGCTTGGAATGACTATAAGCTATCTTCGATTGCTCTGCATCTTGAACGCGCTGCCTGCTAGCTGTAGTGGTATCCCTTTGGTGTGACGCGCTATTTTATTTCTTGCATTTTGTTTCGGAAATGGCCTAGGATGACCTCGCTCCACCCAGGTCATTGCTGCTCAGCTCAGTTGTACCTGATGATGGGTACCTACCTCATACATCCAATTCAGAGACTGTGTTTAATTCACATCCTGAAGAAGTCAAAGAAGCATCTGGGCATTTCTCATCTGTGGATCTTAGCTTTCTACCAGATGAACTGACCCAAGAAAATAAAGACCAGAGTGTCATTAGAAGCAAGCAAGACACTGAAGAAAATTGTAAAACTCAAAGTCAGCAAAGTAGATTGTCATTACCCAGAGAACAGGACGTTGGTCTGGGCTTAATCAGCGGCAGCACTTTGTTGAATTCCCATTCACAAGCGTACGCTGGTGATGCTGACTCAGTCCAGCCCTCTCCTGAGAAACCAAACTCCACGCCTCTGATGTCCATAACTCCCATGACCCCAGTGACCCCTGTTTCAGAATGTTCTGGAATTGTGCCTCAACTACAGTAAGTTGTGTGTGTGTGTGTGTGTGTGTGTGTTTGTGTTTAATGGGTGAGCTCCTGGATATACCATTTATTTTCCTGGATGTGATGACCACTGGTTTCAGAATAGTAGTGTAGGAAGAGAATTTTAAATTTAATTATTCTTTTTAAAAATATTTTTAAAATTTATTTTTGAGAGAAAGAGAGTGTGAGCATGGGAGGGGCAGAGAGAGAGGGAGACACACAATTCGAAGCAGGCTTTAGGCTCTGAGCTGTCAGCACAGAGCCAGGTGGAGGGCTTGAACTCACAAACTGAGATCATGACCTGAGCTGAAGTTGGACACTCAACGGAGTGAGCCACCCAAGCACTGCATATTTAATTGTTGTTTTATCAGTTCTTAATGGATTGTGTCTCTAGACAGTTTGGTTTTTTGTTAAATGAAGTACTAATTCTTGATCTCCTAAGAGAGGGTTAAGAGTATATACATTCTTGAAGGATTGTATTGTTTATACTAAAGCACTGTGATTGCTGAGAATTGTGGTTGGGGTAGGATAAACATAACGGATGTAAAGACGTAAAATTGAATTCAGTTTGCAAATTGATTTGGGATTATGCTTGCTATTTTGAGGCATGGTTTTGAAAAAGATTTAAAATTTGCTTTTAGTCAGCTAGTCATGACATTTTAGAAGAAACTATTTTAGGACTTCACTTTGGAATTTTTACATTTTACTAAGGTTCATCACGTTACTATGTATTTCACATTGCGAGTAATTCTAGGAAGTTGCAATAGACAACCTATAAAATGAGGGAGTCTATATACTTGATTCTTATTTATTTTTTATGTCCAAAATAATTTTCTAAGTTGACTTCTGTCTTCAGGAATATAGTTTCCACTGTAAACCTGGCCTGTAAATTGGATCTGAAGAAAATAGCTTTGCATGCAAAAAATGCAGAGTATAACCCAAAGGTACGATTTCTTGGTATTTCTTTCTTGTAACAATTAGCTACTATTTAGATTTACTTCAGTGCTTGCTTCGGTAGTACATATATTAGATTTACTTCATGTGATAGTGTTGTTGGCTCATTCCTTTGCTGTTGTTTTTAAAACAGAAAAAAATGGTCAGTGCAGAGCTGTCGACAACTCAAATATTAATTGCCTCATTGTCTGCTCTGAAGTTATAAAAAATAACCTCATTCCCTATGCTGAATACAGCAGTGATTGAGCAGTTCCTAAAAGTTAAGATTTTTCCCTTGTCATTCACACAGATTTTTCAGTATGATCACTTTCAGCCTACGAGGATGCTAAGTTTCTTAAAATGCCATCATCTTTTTGGAAATAGTTTTTCCTGATGCTTTCCCACCTACCTGACCCGTATATTTCCCATTACAATTTCTCTTGTTTGAAGAAGCTAAATTGTTTCAAGTGTGAACCTCAGCTTCTACTTACTCATGTAAGATTTAGGGATTTCTTTTCTCTCAAAGTTTAATAAAGGCTACTCTCTGTTGTGTCCTATCAAGGCAAGACATCCAATTTTTAATGGCCAACCAACCTAAGAAGTAAATTTGTTTCTTCAGTCAACATTTAGTAATTTGCTGGTCTTTGTACTTATGAGTTCAAAGACAGTAAGACCTAGTGCCTACTGGGGAAAAGGCCACCATCTTGGATGGCGGAGGATTTATGGCATTAGATGAAAAAGGCCATATTTGTAGGAACCTGAGGACCTTGTGAGCATCAGCTATTTAAGTTGTTGCTGTTTTGGTAGTGTTCTTGCTGACCCCTGATTTTAAATGTACTCGAATATTACCCAAGTATTTTTTTCTATTTCATGTAGGGCACTGTGATGGGCACAGAAACACAATGATAAGCTAGGATTCTTATGGCTGCAGCCATTATTGACCACATTATTAAGTCAGCATATTTAAGCATATTTTCTTGTCCATCATGCTTAGCTCTCCCTTATTTTTGTGTATAGAATCCTATTTTTGTATATAGGATCTATCCAAACTTGGACTTGATAGCTAGAGAAATTCTGGCTTGGCACTTGAGCTACCTTAAGAATGTAAGAAAATAAATACCGGGTGAGGGTATTACCTTAAACACTTGGAAACATTCACAAGATTCAGTCGGCTCTGCGCAGTGCAGACTCAGGGTTCCTTCACTCTCTGTCAATGCTTCAAATGTGACATTTCCAGTCCCACCTTGGTTCTGCGGAGCTCTGATCCATATAACCCGCAGTCTTGCATAGTACCCACCCCGGTTTCCTTCCCAGCTTAATGGGGGAGGATGAGAACAGCACAAGGGAGTGCATGTGTAGAACCAGAGGAGGAGCAGGTCTTTGGTGACATGTCATTGTGGCAGCCCTCCCTTGCATCAGTACCACCTTAAAGGGCTTACCCATGCTGCTGGTGTGGGGGACCACACTTTGAGAACTACTATAGTAGGCAAGAGCTTAAATCATTTGTCTTTGTCCTCTTCAGCATGCCTATCAATGTATATATATTCTGTTCTATATTTTGGCTGCTAGTACATTATAGAGTCTTGGCAAGCCTGTAACATACATCATACTTCCCCCCTCCCCAAATATTCTTTGAAAGAAAAAGGAAGTATTTCAAAGTAAAAAGCACAGCGTCCGATTAGTCATGGTTTTAAATCTTAACTTTACTATTCCCTTTGTAATGTTGGAAGCCGAATAACCACTCAGTTTCCCTGCACACTAAATGGTGATAATCATGGAGTCCGTTAAGCTCTAGCATCAGGATAAAGGTGACAAAACTTATAAACCTCTTAGCATTGGGCTTGAATGCTAAGGCGCTCAAATTTAGCTCTATTGTTATTATTCTTACCTATTTTTTCTAAGTACATTTTAGAATGATAGTTTTTGTTAGCATTAGCATGGGGAGAATAGACCCAGACATTTTTTCCCTTTCCCATCCAAAATCATCTTAAGACCGATTTCACGTCCAACCCAGCTTTTCAACTGGAATAGTGTTAAATCCTAGCAGAGGCTAAGTGTTCTTTTGACTTCTGTGTATAGAGGTTCGCTGCTGTCATAATGAGGATCCGAGAGCCCAGGACAACAGCCCTCATATTTAGCTCTGGGAAAATGGTCTGCACGGGAGCCAAAAGGTATGCGGAACCACCTCCACCCTTATCAGACAAGTAATTCTGTATGTGAAACCAGGAAGGATAGTATTCATGTTCTAAAATACCTAGTAGGAACCTACTTAGGTCCCACTTTACAGTTCCCCCGTTAAAACTGAAGGGACTTAGCTAGGCTGTTAGAACTTGTTCTTAAGGTGCATTTAAAAACTATAGTAGTGCTAAAGCCTGTTATAAGCCTGGGGAAGTAGTTATTGTATATTTTTCTCATTGCAGATAAATGGATAGAACTTTTTAAAGGAGGTAAATTAGGCACTTCTTGACCATTAGCTTGAGCATTAGCTCAGGAGGTGACTCTTAAAAGGCTCGTTTTTTTCCCTGGATCTCCTGCATAGGCAGCCCCATGCTGATATAGATCCTTTCATCATAAAACTGTGGTAGGAGAGCTGCTCTTCCCTCCAAGTGTTAGAAGATGAGTAGTAAATTGTCCTCCTGAAAGGTTGGACGAATTTCTCCTCACTCTAGAGATGTATCAAGTATTCATTTTCTCCAAAGAACAGTAGGTGTTAATATTTTTTATATTTGCCAAGTTGCTTGGCTCAAAGTGTGTTAATTACATGTTTTTGATTTGCTAGTGAGACTAACTTGTCATAAGCATGTAAACTGCTGTGTCTTTTGCCCAATAGTCTATGGAAATCACTGTCTTTTGTAAATAGGTTTTTGTATTTAAGTATTTCCACTACTTTATACTATATAAATGTTATTTCCCAGATTATTATTAATGGTGTTTTACAATTTTTTATACACAATTAAAATTTTTGTGTGTGTACAGTCCAATTTTTCTTTAGGATTTTGATATTTGGTTTTATGCTTAGGAAGGCATTCCCCATGCACAACATTTATATAAATATTGACCTCTGTATATTTTTCTGGCCTCTGTATTGAGGAAAAGAAGTGATGTTTTGATTCAGTTAGAGCTTTCTTTAGGTGATGGAAATATTTTATATTTGTGCTTTCCAGTGTGGTAGCCACTAGTCACATATTGAGCAGTTTTAATTGCTAATATACAAGAGCGTATAGCTAATATACAAAGGAATAGAAATTTTTATTTAATTTTAATCAATTTAAATATAAATAGCTACATGTGGCTAGTGGCTACCATATTGGGCAGAGCAGGTCTGGAATTTTATTTCACTGTAAGATCATTTTTTTTTTCAAATGGCCAGTAAGTGACCTAATACATTTATTGAACAATCCGTGTGTGTGTGTGTGTGTGTGTGTGTGTGTGTGTGTATGTGTATGGGATATTTTGTATGAATTTCTCCTCACTCTACAGATGTATCATCTATTCATTTTCTCCAAACAACACTGGGTGTTAATATTTTTTAACTTGTATTTTTTATATTATTTATATTAAAATTGTATTATAAACTATATTAACTATATATTATATATGTTTATATTTTATATATTATATGTGAAATATATATTAGTATAGTTGACACACAATGTTACATTAGTTTCAGGTGATTCAGCAAGTTTATACATGATGCTATGTTCACCATGAGTATAGCTAACATCTGTCCCCATACAATGCTACTACAAGTCTGTTGACTATATTCCTTATAATGTGCCTTTAATTCATCTGACTTATTCGTTCCATAACCGGAAGCCTGTATCTCTCATTTCCTTCACTGATTTTTTTTTCCCATCCCCCAGCCTCCTCCCCTCTGGCAACTATCAGTTTGTTCTGTGTTTATAGGTCTGTCTCTTCTTTTTATTAATTTTTTTAAAAAGATTCCACACATAAATGAAATCACATGGTATTTATCTTTCTTATATGGTATTTATTTCACTTAGCATAGTACCCTCTAGGACCATCCATGTTCTCTCAAATGGCAAGGCCTCCTTTTTTATGGTTGCATAATCTATTGTTTCATATACCACATCTTCCTTATCTATCAATACACACTTGGGTTGCTTTCATATCTTGGCTATTGTAAATCATGCTGCAGTAAACATGGGGTACATTTATCTGTTCAAATTAGTGCTTCTGTTTTCTTTGGGTAAATACCAAATAGTGGAATTATTGGATTGTATGGAATTTCTATTTTTAATTTTTTGAGGACCCTCTATACCGTTTTCCACAGTGGCTATACCAGTTTACCTTCTCGCCAACAGTGCACAAGGGTCGCTTTTCCTCCACCTCCTCACCAACAATTGTTATTTCTTGTCTTTTTAATTTTAGCCATTCCAAAAGGTGTAAGGTGATGTTTCATTGTGGCTTTGATGTGTTATTTCCCTGATGGGTGATGTTGAATATCTTTTCATGTGTCTATTGGTCATTTCTGTGTCATCTTTGGAAAAAATGTCTGTTTAGGTCCTCTGTCTATTTTTAAATCAGATTATATATATATATATATTTTGGTGTTGAGTTATAGAAGTTCTTTATCTATTTTGGATATTCACCCCTTATCAGATATATCATTTACAAATATCTTATTCAGTAGGTTGCCTTTTGGTTTGTTGATGGTTTCCTTATTGTGCAAAAGTTTTTTACTTTGCAGCCCCAATGGTTTCTTTTTGCTTTCTTTTCCCTTGCTTTAGGAGACCTATCTAGAAAAATGCTGCTGTGGCCGATGTCAGAGAAATTACTGCCTGTGTTCTTTTCTAGGATTTTTATGGTTCCAGGTCTTGAATTTAGATCTTTAATCAATTTGAGTTTATTTTTGTGTAGGGTGTTAAAAAGTGGTCTGGTTTCATTTTTTTACATGTAGGTATCCAGTTTTCCCAGCATCATTTATTGAAGAAACTGTCTTTTCCCTATGGGATACTTTTGTCTCCTGCGTCATAGATTAATTGGCCATATAATCATGGGTTTATTTCTGGGCTCTCTGTCCACTGATCTAAATGTCTGTTTTTGTGCCTATTTTTGTGTTTTGATTACTACAGCTTTGTAGTTTGTCTTGATATCTGAAATTGTGATCCCTCTAGCTTTGTTTTTCTTTCTCAAGATTGCTTTGGCTATTTGGGATCTTTTGTGAGTAGTAATCTAATTTGGTGAAAAATGTTGCTGGTATTCTGATAGGGATTGCATTGAATCTATGAATTGCTTTGGGTAATAGGGACATTTTAACAATATTCTTCCAATCCATGAGCATCGAATTTTTATCCATTTATTTGTATCATCTTCGGTTTCTTTCATCAGTGTTTATAGTACAGGTCTTTCACCTCTTTGGTTAAGTTTATTCCTAGGTATTTTATTCTTTTTGGTGCAGTTTTAAATGGAGTTGTTTTCTTAATTTCTCCTTCTTTTTTATTAGTGTATAGATATGCTACTGATTTCTTGGTATTAATTTTGTATCCTATTTTACTGAATTCATTGATTACTTCTAGTAGTTTGGTGGAGTCTTTAGGATTTTCAATATATGGGATACTGTCATCTGTACATGGTGACAGTTTGGCTTCTTTACTGGTATGAATACCTTTTATTTCTTATCTGATTCCTTTGTTTTGGACTTCTAGTATTATGTTGAATAAAAGTGGTGAGAATGGACATCCTTGGCTTGTTCCTAACTTCGTGGGAAAGCTCTCAGTTTGTCACCATTGAGTATGATGTTAGCTGTGGGTTTTTTGTATATGGCCTTTACTAGGTTGAGGTATATTCCCCTAAACCCACTTGGTTGAACATGTGTTTTTTTTTTTTTTTTTTTTTTTTTTTACCACAAATGGTTGTTGAATTTTGTTGTTTTTTCAGCATCTGTTGAGATGATTATATGATTTTTATCCTTCATTTTGTTGTTGTCCTATGTCCTGTTGATCAATTTGTAAATCTTGAATCCTTCTTACATCCCCAGAACAAATCCCATTTGATCGTCATGCAGGATCTGCTTAATGCATTGTTATATGTGGTGTGCTAATATTTTGTTGAGTTTTGCATGTATGTGACAAATCCATTCTTAATCCATATTTTCCCCTACCTGTTTTTACATATTCTTTATATGCATCTGGGTAAGCTCCTGGGCTGTCTCTTCTGTTGATCTGTATATTCTTGGACTTAGAAATCTCCCATTTAAAAAAAATTGAATCTTCATTTTTGAGAGAGAGAGAGACCGTGTGAGTCAGGGAAGAACAGAGAGGGAGACACAGAATCCGAAGCAGGCTCTAGGCTCTGAGTTGTCAGCAAAGAGTCTGACGCAGGGCTGGAACCCATGAACTGTGAGTTCATGACCTGAGCCAAAGTCGGACACTTCATTGACTGAGCCACCAGGCACCTCCAGAAATCTTTCATTTTTGGGTCCTTATTGGACAACTCTGCAGGGTATCTGCAAGGATGTTCATTTCACCATTGTTTAAAATGGGGGGAGACAAATACCTGGTAATAGACGTTTGATTAGATCATAAATTGCATTTAGCTATTAAAACGTACATATACTGAGTTGGAAGGATGTTGCATTATGTTACATTGTAGGGGAATAGGCAACTAAATTGTAAGTTTATTATCTAACTTTCACTTTAAAATATGCTTATATTACACTTTCATGATTATCTTTCCCTGTCTGAATTTATTTGGTTGCCAAAATCTAATGGTGAAAGTTTGGATAGTGGGTTCAGATGAGATACTCCTTGCCCAAATATATTTGGTTCTTGAGTCTTGGACAGAGATTTGTGAAATTTTGGTTAGTCTAAGAGTTATCAGAATTATCTCCAGAAATTCATCCAAACCTATTCTCTTTAGTCATAATAACTAGAGTTTGCTAGTGAAGGTTACTTGTGTTTCCACAGGGAAAGTACACAAGGGTCAAATTTAATCAGTGTCACCACCCCTTGTGGTGATATTTCGAGGTTCTTACTCTATTTTCTTTTTATTTATTTTTTATTTTTTTTATACTTTTGAGACAGAGAGAGACCGAGCGTGAACAGGGGAAGGTCAGAGAGAGAGGGAGACACAGAATATGAAGCAGGCTCCAGGCTCTGAGCTAGCCGTCAGCCCAGAGCCCAACGCGGGGCTCTGAACCCACAAACTGCGAGATCATGACCTGAGCCGAAACCGGACACTCAACCGACTGAGCCACCCAGGCGCCCCTCTTACTCTATTTTCTAATGTTTCTACAGGAACATGTATGTAGACTTTAAGTGTAAGTTGTTTGGGAATTTCCAAGTCCTAATCACAGCTGATATCCAATAAAACTACAGGGCTACCCAAACTCTTAAATTTTTACCTTATAAACATCAGCACTATGGGAAACATCAGCAATATAACCAGTTAGGCAAATGTATTTTTTCAAAATAGAAACTGTATTTATTTCCCTGATACCTTGGGGACATGGCCTTGGCAGGGACATCTCAGGAGTTAGAAGTGGGTGAGGAGAAGAAATGTGGAGTGAAAACGTGATGTAATTAATACACATAAGAGGGGCAGTGTTGTGAAGGCTCTAGATAGGAAAGATCATGGAAGGCTTCCTTTGGTCCAGGCAAACAGCAAGTTCAATCTGGCTCTTCTTTCAGGTGCTTCTGATTTTCAATGTAAAGATGAGGTGGAGTTCACATGGCTCACCCACCAGGTTTTGCCCCTGTTTGGTAATCCCTGCTGAGATTTGTTGTATTGCTTTGCCAATGACCATTGAAAAGCATGTAATGAAAAAATAAAGCCTCGCATCTCAGGACTTGACATTCTCAGACCTGGATTTCAGGTTGGGTCAGGACAAACATTTAGAAGAATATGGCCACAAAGTTGAATAAATTTCTTCCTCGCTCATGTGGGGTGTGAGTCGAGTGATAATTCTGTGAGAAAGCCTGAGCAAAATTGGTTAGGTTTTGAGGCGTTTTCGTGCTTTTTCTAAAAAAAATAATTTGTTTCATAAAGCTCCTGGTCTTTGTCACCCAATTGGCATCCCTCTTTCTTCTTCCTGTTGATTTTTTTTTTCTTTTTGTATGCACATGTCCTGATTTTTGTTGCTGTTGTTCCCATCTACGTGGCACAAACTTTTAGACCAGATGGATGGTTCTCAACCTTGACTGAGCATTACAGTCTGGAGGGCTTGTTAAAACTTAGACTGCTGAGGGGTGCCTGGGTGGCTCAGTCAGTTAAGAGTCTGACTTCGGCTCAGGTCATGAGCTCACGGTTCGTGGGTTTGAGCCCCATGTCGGGCTCTGTGCTGACAGCTCAGAGCCTGGAGCCTGCTTCAGATTCTGTGTCTCCCTCTCTCTCTGACCCTCCCCTGTTCATGCTGTCTCTCTCTCTCTCTGTCTCATTAAACATTAAAAAAATTTAAAAAATTAATTTAAAAAACCTCTGCTGGGCCCCATAGTGCTTGAGGCTGGGACCTGGGGCTTTGCATTTCTAACAAGTTCTCCGGTGGTGATTCTGCTGCAAGTCTGAGGACACACTCTGAGAACCAGTGGAATAGTTAATTTTATCTTCTAGCACTTAAAACAATTAAAAGAAAAATAGGGGCACCTGGGTAGCTCAGTAGGTTAAGTATCTGACTTCGGCTCACGTCATGATCTCACAGTCCCTGGGTTCAAGCTCTGTGCTGATAGCTCAGAGCCTGGAGCCTGATTCACATTCTGTGTCTCCCTCTTTCTCTGCTCCTCCGCTGCTCCTGCTCTCTCTCTCTCTCTCTCTCTCTCTCCCCCCCCATCAAAAATAAATAGATTAAAACAATTAAAATACCCTATATGTTTAAGATGACAAATGAAGATGAAAATGTGTTTCTGATTTGCTTCTTACTGGGCACTAGGGGCAAAAGCAGGGGAGGTTGGACCTTGTCCTCAGCACTGTAGTATGCGAAAAACAAACATGGTACAGATGCTAAAAGTACAATCAGGGAAGTGTGTGAACACAGCCCAAGCAGGAGAGAGGACATAGTGATTAAGACCTCTTTAAATACATTTGCCCCTCCCCAGTGAAGAGCAGTCTCGACTTGCTGCGAGGAAGTATGCTCGTGTGGTGCAGAAGCTTGGGTTCCCAGCCAGATTCCTCGATTTTAAAATTCAGAACATGGTTGGAAGCTGTGATGTGAGATTTCCCATCAGGCTGGAAGGTTTGGTGCTAACCCATCAGCAGTTCAGTAGGTATGACGGTTATACAACTATCTGAGTTTCCCAAGATGTTGAAGTTGTATTACAGGCAGGCTGCTCACATAGTGTATCTTTCAGAGAAAGTGGGGTGTGTGTGTGTGTGTGTGTGTGTGTGTGGGGTGGTGGTGGTGATGGTGTTTTTAAGACTAGGTAAAAGGATTAAAATGCTGTGCTTAAGTCCTTACTGATTACTGTATGTGTCCAATCTTCTGAAATAGTGGGTCTCAAAATTAAATCACATAGTAATCACCTGGACAGCTTTTTAAAACACTTTCCTGCCTAGGCTGCATCATCACTGATTTTGCCTGAACTTGCAGTTCTAATGGGCCCACAGGTGATGTCAGTACTGCTTGCCAGAGGCTTGAGACTCCCCGATGTATAGATTTTTGAAACAGGCATGCTCGGCTGGGGGGTTCTTCAAATGTAACTTCCCAGCTCAACAGCAAATGCACTGGGTCTGCTTTCCTCAGCTGCTTTGGCTTCTCCCAGCCTGTTCAGGCCCTCAAGCAGTGATGGAGGTTGACTGGTCAGCACCAAAGCCTACTGCCCTGGGGCATATATACCTGGCCAAGGCCCTGTAAGCTGCTTAAAATCACAGATGCTTTGCCTTCGAGTGACCATTCCTATTTACAGAGTGAATGGGGATCCTATAGCTGTGCTTTCTCTAACATTTGTTAGCTTTCCTTTTCAGACATGGTCTGAAGAGCTGTTAAAAATTGCTTTGTTTTCTCCTAGTTTGTCAAAACTCTCAGTTCATTCTGAGATTTAGCTTTTAGGATAGTCTTCAAGCAATGTTTATTTTTCCCCTGATTATATTTTTTTCCCTCTGCGTTAATTTTTTTCAACATATGCCTATTGGATACCTATGATGTTCCCATTGAACTTCACTGTGAAGCGCCCACATGCGGGAAACATTGCGTTTTTAGGCATGTTTCTCATTCTTCAGTCTTGGGAAGGGTTGTAGATTCATAGTAAAGCTTTGTTTTTAAGAATCTCTCAACACCTGAACCATCTTTTCTAGCAGATTCTCAACCATGGGCCTCTGGTCTGTCTCTCTCTGAACCAACTTTTTCTGATGAGCGATCTCAGCCTGAATTCTGTGTTTGTATCAGATTTAGCACTCTGTTTTCTGGCCTTTTAGGCCTCTAAAATGATGTATACAGTTTTTCCCAAGTTTCACTTTATTTTTTTTTTCACCAACATTGTCATCTTTGTAGGTCAGATTTAAGTCTAGGGTAGGAGTATCCCTTGTCACTACTTCTGCCTTCTGGAAGATAAAATTACCAGTAGGGGAAGATGAGAACTTCCCATATGCACTGCTTTTAGCTACTTGGAGTGGCTCCATTACTTGTTCTGTCTTGCTTCTGAACCAGTTTTAGGATCTCACCCATCTTTTTTTAATGTAGCCAGAAAGCCTGCATTATATTCCCACTACTATTTGTTTCTAGTCTTATTCTTGTCTTCTCCAAAAGTTTACCACTTGGGCTCCACCCTTAGGTTATGGATTATAGCTCCAGTGTGTGGATTGAGGGCTCTGGGGCATTAAAACACTTCTTTCAAGCAGGTTTGTGTCTTTAAAATGAGACCTCTCTTTAATCATTTGCAACCCTATTGGGGAACTATGGCACGTACATACCAATTATAATTATTAGGTTAAGTCTGCCTATGTTAAAACCTCAAGTTCCTTTCATTCTCCTGGTTCTACAAATTTGTGCATCAGCATCTGATACCCTAAGTATCCCCCTAGTTACTGGGCACCTCCTCTGTCCACATTTGTAAGACATAATTGTTTCCAGTTTTCCCTGAGCATTGTTCTCCCTTCCTTCACTTTCTAAATCAAAGATATCCTGATAATAAATACTAAGTGACTAATATCTAGGTGGCTACCATGTAGCAGATGCTATGGTGATCATGACAGTCATTACAGCCATGGTCCCTTGCTCTCATGTCTTAAAGGAGCTCACTGTCTTAAAGGAAAGACAGAGAAACTAACGATACTATGGTAACTATGAGGTGAACACCCTTGGGAGTGCTACAGTACCATTAAGCAGGATATTTAATGTAACAGGGTAGGGAGAGTGTGGAGGTCAAAGTTCTTATGGGAAGTAACATTGAAGCCAACACTTGAATGATGAGTTGAAGTTGGCAAGTGTTGTTCTTCATCCTCATGAAATTCTCTGTCTCTAACCAAACCTCCTTTCTTTTCCCCCTGGCCTTAACCTTCTTTCAAAATGAGGCAGACGATAATAATATGAAGTAAATATCTCACTGGAAGTTCTTCATGCTGGTATCTTAAAACTATGGTTCTGAAAGCCAATTGCAAGTTTTCTGTCATTTATATACCAAAGAGTTTGGTTTCTTGTTTCCTTTCTAGAATGCTAAGATTCTGTTGGGAGATGAAATGGAAACATTCCTTCTGTGCCCCTAGCTTTCACTTTCTTGACTAGAACTTCATAGTCCCATACAAGTTTTCCAGTTTCCAACCAGTATCGTTGTCTTCCCAGTGTTGAGAAGTGGTAAGTGGGTAAAGTCTTAACAGACTTTCTGCACAAAGAGTGATGTCCTAGGAAGATAAGTCCACCCATAGTAGCCTCCATATACTTCAGCAGGGTAGCCTCACCACTGCAATGCATCTTTCTACTACCAATAAGAGATTGCACATCTGCTGTTGTATGAGTCTTATTCACTGCAGAATGGAATGGAGTTTTCCCTGTGGTCTGGATTTACCCTTTAAATGCAAAGATTTATATGTATCGTGTTCCATTTCACAAATTTCTTCTTTTTCCTATATCTGTTCTTCATTAGTTATTGCTTTTATTTCCTCAAGCGTCCTCTTAACTCTTGTCTTCTTTTTTGAAGTCTCCTCAAAACTTCTAGGGGTCTCTACTTCTCTCTGCTGGAGCCTGGAGAAGCTCTCTCATCCTTCTACGTTTAGTAGTAAATACAACTGAGTTACCATTTATAGGAACAAATTCTAATTTTTTTAAAGTTCTCTTTCTTTTTTAAAGTAATCTCTACACCCATTGTGGGGTTTGAAATCACAACCTTGAGATCAAGAGTCCCATGCCCTTCCAACCCAGCCAGCCAGGTGCCCCACAAATCCTAAATTTTTAAAACTTGGGATAGTTTAATTTTCTTTACAGCATCTGTCCAGAGATCAATGATAGTAGTCTAGAAAAATTTTTAGGTTCTATCTGCGAAAATTGTTAACTTTAGCAGTTTATAAATGCCTATCAAATGTGCTCATTATTGAGAAACTTGGAAAATTTAGAAAACGTGTTTATGTATTTTTACTGATAGACTTTTTTTGGAAAGATGAAAACATTTAACCAAGAAGATCTTAATACATTAAATTTTCCCTAAGTTATCTCAATTTCTAATAGCTTAGGATGACTTGCACTTTGAAAAAATGTTATGACCAAAGATGAATTCTGCTCTTGACTACCATAAAAAATTGCCTAGGGCACTCCAGATTACTTTTGCTAAGATGGCCAAAAGTTTTTGGTAAAATAGCTTCAATATGCTGGGTCTTGAATATTATGGGAAAGTGGTTGAATAGTACTATTTTTAACTTTTTTCTTTTATATCTTAACTTTTTTTTTTTTTTTTTAATATATCTTAACAGTTATGAACCTGAACTGTTTCCTGGCCTTATTTATAGAATGGTAAAACCACGAATTGTGTTGCTTATCTTTGTATCTGGAAAAGTTGTGTTGACAGGTGAGTTCTAAGATGACTTTCCTAAAATTCAGTAGCTATGGGTATACTTTATGCTTTTCCTTTTAAATAGCTTTGTTCACCATTACAAAGTCTTGGTATTGTAGAACACCTGGCATAAAATGAAAAGTAAAAAGAACTGTATCATCCATTGGTCTCAATATCCAAAAGAATATAACTTTTTTTTCATGTTTATATCCTTTTGATATGTATATTTAACTTAACATCCTGACTTTTTATTAACCATTATAACCTCTAGCTTAGCTCATTGTTACAAAGTCCTCATAGAATACTTTTAACAGCTGCACAATGTTCTTTTTTTAAATGTTTGTTTTTGAGAGAGACAGACAGAGAATGAAGAGGGGAGGGGAAAAAAGAGGGGGAGACACAGAATCTGAAGCTGTCAGCACAGAGCCCAATGCAGGGCTTGAACTCACTAACAGGAAGATCATGACCTGAGCTGAAGTCCGTGGCTTAACCAACTGAGCCATCCAGGTGCCCCTCAGCTGCAAATGTTCTAACAGAGGGGTCATCAAACCTTTTTCTGTAAAGGGCCAAATACTAAATATTTTAGGCTTTGTGGCCCATACCGTCTCTGTTGCAACAACTGAACTCTGCCATTGTAGTGTGAAAGTAGCTACAGGCATTACATCAAGGAAAGGGCTCTGAAATGTGAATTTAATATAATTCATATAATTTACATGTGTCATGTAATACTTCATTTGATTTTTTTTTTTTTTTTGCCCCCAATCGTTTAGGCCATTGAATTTAAAACCACTTTTAGCTCACATGCTATACAAAAACAGGACTAGATTTGGCCAGCCGCCTGTTTCCTGACCTCTGTTCTAACACTTGATCATATCAAACTTATTTTCCATTGCCAAACGTTTAAATGTTCCTTCTTTGTTTTCTGCTTATAATGGCACAGACTTTTGGCTATTTTTATGTGTGGAGAATTATGTTGTTAGTGTGAATGGTCAGAAATGGAACTTTGTTTAAGGATATGACTATTCTTAAGGTTCTGAGTACAAATTATCAAAATTTTAAAAATGATTTTTATTTATTTCTGAGAGACAGAGACCTTGTGAGCAGGGTAGAGTCAGAGAGAGGGAGACACAGAAACAGGCTCCAGGCTCTGAGCTAGCTGTCAGCACAGGGTCCGACACGGGGCTTGAACCCACGGACCGTAAGATCATTACCTGAGCCGAAGTCGGACGCTCAACCGACTGAGCCACCCAGGTGCCCCTCAAATTATTTTTTAAATGGATACACAATATAGTTCTCCCATATTCTATGTTCCTAACAGCAATGTATTTAAATATCTTTTACAAACCCTCAGTAGCATTCAAAACAAAACTAGCATAAAAACTTGTGCTTTTTTGCAGTGACAGTGATCTCATTGCTGTAACTACATTGGTAATCAGAAACAGAAATTGAAGACTATTCTAAGATAGTCAAGAAATAGCATTTTATCTTTTATAGACATTGTGCACATAACTTAATCTTTTTTGTCTACTTAGTGTTTATTATTTTTTTTTCCCTAAGGATTTGTATGAGGTCACCATAATATTAAGACTAATTTTACTCTTTGTTTTGTACTTATGGCTTTTTCCAGTTGACTTATTTTTACATGAAGAAGGGTTTTTTCAACGCTTGAGGTAAATGGTTGAGACTCTTTCCATACCCTTCTCCTGAAGTTTGCTACTCTTGTCTAACTTTGTCTTTTTACATATTCTACTGTTATGTACCAAGATGAATGCCAAATTTACATAGCAGGGGCCAAATTGATTAGGACTCACCCTCAAATATCCAGTCAGCCATATTACCACTGCATATTACTCTACTTATTCTTAATTTGTGAGCACTCCATATAACCTTTATATTTATATATGGGTTTGTAGTCTTGCCTTTGCTGCAGGATTCTACTGTGATAATCCTATTGTATATATTACTATTGTGTTATAAACGTGCTTTAATTTTAGTGGTCTTTATATCTGCTAGGGTCAATTTCCCCTCTCCATTTGTTTCTTAGCCCCTCTTGAATATTTAGTCTCCCAAATAAGCTTTAGAATTTTACAGAATCCTGCCCCATTTAAAAAAAATTGAGATTTTTGCATTACCTGAATTAATTTGGGGAAAAATGATAAAGTCATCACTCAGCATCCCAAAACACGGAATTTCTGTTCTTAAATGTTCTTTTAGAACTCTCAGTGAAGTTTTATAGTTTGTTTTACTGTAACAACTAATGTGTCTTCAAAGTGAGGAGAGCAATTTTAGAATTCAAGAACTTTTTGAATATGGCAAAGCTACAGTTTCTCAGATGCTGCCAATTTAGAGCCTAGAATAATTAAGACCTCCTTGTGATTGACATAAAGTTTACTTCTATATGTCCTTAAGGAAAGGGGGAAAGTCTGCCAGGTAAATTGAAATAGTATAAATACTGGAGCAAACAAATGCCCTATTTAAGGGAACAAACTCTTCAAGAGCTTTGGAAGATACTTTCATGTACATGCTACGTATCATTATTAATCAGTCTTATTAACAGTGCCAATCGACAGGTACCATAATACTGGTACATATATAATACTAGTACACATACAAGTATTATAACAGGCTAAATCTCTATTGGGAGTACACAGACACAAATCTCTTTAAGTATCCTTCATTCAAACCAGCTTTCCTACTTACCCCCATTAAAAGAAAAAACTTGCATATACACATTTGCTACAAGTTTCAAATCCCACAGGAATTGTCCACATGCCGTACCAAAGACCATGCAATACGCTCCCTTAGGATTTCTTACACATTCAGCATGTAGAACAAACGAAGCTAAATTTCCTCATTCTTGAGAGATATAGATCATCACTTTTGTGAAGGGGGGAATGAGATATATTAACTGAAGTCCGAATTCCAAATTTCTGCTTCCATTATGAAGTAAAAGCTGACCAATATCGTAATACTAAAATAGGAGTAATTATCATTGATTGGGATTTCCCCATTTGTGGTGTATTGTCTTAAAGTACTTCACCTAGAATACATGGTTCAGGTTACTTTTGCTTCAGACTTGGAGACCAATGTCCCTTAGTCCTTACATATCTACACTCTTTTCACTTGCAAAGGGTGTAAAAACTTAAGGGCGCTATTTTGAGTGTAAACATGAGGAAAGGGACCAAGGAGGACTCCGTTTAGCCTTGCCTCTAGAATGTTAGCTGGAGATGGTCACATAGCATGTATAGGGGATCCCTAGAGGCTCACATGTTCCAGCCCAACATGGCAAGACTCTGCAGAACTATTTTGAAAGGTCCCTAGCTTCGGCCTAGAAAATGTTAGAGTGCTGAAATTATAAATGCATTTGGCATTTCACTATAATTAATTAATGGATTCCAGCTCATCCCTGGGTAGGAACTGAAGAACACCAGCACACGTATAGTAAGTGCAATTCAAAACCATGTATCATGTGCCATTTGCAGGGACTCTGAAAATAATTTATCCATGTAAAATTGCCTTACTCCCCTGATAGGCCACAGCTGTGGCTACCATGGCCAAGGCTACTACTGAATGTTCTAATTATAGTTAAGTGAGCTGATGATAAAGAAATCCTACTATCCTACTATGTCCTGGCCCCTGACCGCAAAAAACAATGGGCCCTGGGCCAAGCTTAACAACATTTTCCCAGGTTCGTGTTATTTTTCTATGGCTGGTGTGACATTTAAGACCCATGTTTTGTTTTTGTTTTTGTTTTCCCTCAAACCGCAGTAAAACTAATATAGCTAGGCTCTGTTGGAATGGTATACAATGAACAACAAAAAGGGCAACTTTCACTTCTAAGATCAGACATAATAGAATTAACATTAATTAATTAAAGTCGGGTACACACATGTGTAAGAGTTTTCATGTAGGTTCTAGTTAACTCTGAGGTTGTACCTAAAATCTCAGTTTCCTCATCTGTAAAATGGGCACAGTGGAGAAGTAACCGTAACAGTGTCAAACAGCTGTACATGCTGTAGCACAGGTGGGAAGTTGAGCAGCCTCGTTCCAGTGCCCACCACCCCCACGTACTCACCTTGTCCCTCAGCTCTTTAGATGTCTGTGCAAACACCTGTGTGGTCTTTGGGGGCCCCTTCTCCCTCTTCCTTCTTGTCAGCTGAAGGAAAGAGAAATACTTTTAGTGGTGAGAGGCAGCAGGTGTGGTGGCTAAGAGGCTGGGCTCTGGAAACCAATGGCCTAATTCGCATCCAGGCTGTACTATTTATTGGCTGTATGACCCTGGGTGAGTTTAAGTTCTCCAGCTTGATTTCCACATATGTAAAAGGCAGGTGGCCATAGTAGCTACCTGCTAAATGCAATGAGGCAGAAAAGCGGTGTCTGGTATATGGTAAATGTGGTATAAACGCTAGCTGTTACTCCTTTGGTGAAAGCCCACTCTTCTTTTACCCCTAGCATTGAGAGCCTGGAATTTTGCTGTGATGCCGTGCCCTGATGATAGGAATATGAAGTCTTAAAGAGGCTTTAGTCTAAAGTCTAAAATGCTTCACATTTATATATTTCCCTCTAGCATAATGGACTTCTTAAGAAGCTGGGTTTTTGTTACTTAGGGTCACTCTCAATCAGCTAGACATCAGCAATTCTTGGAAATGAGGAGCTCAGGGGCGCCTGGGTAGCTCAGTCAGTTTAGCCTCTGACTTCAGCTCAGGTCGTGATCTTGTAGTCTGTGAGTTCGAGCCCCACATCAGGCTCTGTGCTGCCAGGTTAGAGTTTGGAGCCCGCTTCAGATTGTGTCTCCCTCTCTCTCTGCCCCTCCCCCCCCGCTCATGCTCTCTCAAAATAAATAAATGTAAAAAAATTTTTTTAAATAAGGGAAATGAGGAGGTGAGAAGGCAACATAAAAATGGCAAGACTTATTAGTGACTAGGCCAGAGAGATAACAATATCCCCGTCAGTCATTACCAGGAATCCCCCTATAATGGCAAGCTAGTATGTACTGTAAAATGCATACTTTGAAGGGTTAAATGCTATTTTTTTTTTTTTTTTTTTACAAATTGTAAGACTTTTCCTGATGTAGGAATAGAATTGGAAAATGCAAGTAGTACTGGAAATTGATATTTGGGCTGGCTAGGGGGTAGGGATGAACTTAGCCTATTGAGAGATGGTAGATATTTCATGAAGTTTGGGTGCCTACCAGGTACATATACTAGAAGGGAAAGTAAATATACCCCCTCCGACCCCTGCCCATGGCAGGAATCAGCCTTGGGGAAAGAAACGGGGCAAATTATGTGCTACTGGCTCTTACAGAACCAGATGATAAACCATATGTACTTGGAAAAGCCGGCCATCCCAATGTCCCTAACCCTAGGGCCATAAAAATAGCTTAGATTTTGTAAAAATAGTATGGTTTGCAAAGGACTTCTTACAAACATTCACTCATGTCAGGCTTACGGCAGCCCTCTGAGAAGGCTATTGTCCTTATTTTACAGATAAGGAAGTGGAAACTCCAAGCTTAAACAATTTGCCTGTGATTTCAAATCTAGCTAATGGTAGAGCTGGTATTTGAGCTCATGTAGTTTGATGATTTCAAAGCCAGTTCTTTCTTCATTACGCCAGCCACAGAATTTCCACCTCCGTCACCCTGGTCAGGAATGGTGTTTATCCCCCAAAGAGGTGGTCATTGTTACTTGAAGGAAAGACGGGGAGGCCAGAGTCCTCTAATTGGAGCCTGGTGCTTCAAATTGGGATGTCTGATAATAGAGTCATAGGACTAGAGGAATAATTTGGGTGCCCATAAAGTTGTGATACCAATATTTCAGTGAGGAAATATTTGACTAAATTGACCAACTCCCCTCATTGTAATTCCCAGTTACAACTGCTGGCAAAGTTTATTTGGTGACTTTGAGATGGGACACTGGATACATGAGGTCTTCACCCATAGCTGCTATTCATGATTCTGGGGAACTTGAACTTCTTGGGCCTCATTTTCCCACAGAGGAAATGAAGGAAATTGCATTAGCTAATTTCCACAAAGCGCTTTTGTGTCTATTGATGTTATTCTATGATATAATGATCACTGTCGGTGTCTGTTCCCTCCTGGGCAACAGGGGTTTTCTGCTGTTCAGGGGACACCAGAATGCTAAACTCGTTGGGGCTTGAAAATTCTCTTAGGTATGATTGTTTTATTAAGTGTTATGATAAACTGAAGTACATAGTTACCTTGAATGCTGGACCTAGGCCCTCTGTTTCTCAAATAGAAAAAGAACCTTGGTTTTGGTGGGTGGAGATGGAAATTGAATGGGTGGGTGAGTGGGTGTTTGCTGTATCTACTATATGTCACTGTCTCCTGATAAGAAAGCTTTCACATTCAAATGTACCTAAAAGGGGAAAAAAGTCCATCAAATCAGAGGCAGAATTTTTTTTTTTATGTTTCCCCAACTCACTGTTTGGTTTCTACAAAAAAGCTACTTTAGAAATTAAAATTTTAGTGCTGTAACCAAAATCTGAGGCTTAAGGGATTTTTCCTACCCCAAAGGTACAAAGTTTCTGTTACCCATGTCAGTAACTCCCCCTCCCCCCTCTCCCCACCCCACGTCTTTGAGGGTGGAGACTCACATGCAGTTAAACTCCTTGGCAATGAATAAGTAACTTTTTGTCTTTGCCTCTCAAAAAAATTTAAGCTTATAAGGACTTCAACTTTGATTCTTTAACATTTTTTAATATTTTGAGATAAAATTCATATAATATAAATTTAACCATTTTAAAGTGAGTAATTCAGTGATATTTAGTAAACTCACAATTTGTGCAACCACTGCCTCTATCAATTACCAAAACATTTCCATTACTCCAGAATAAAGTCCCATATCCTTAAGCAGTTGCTCTCCATTCCTCCCTCCCCTTAGCCCTTGGCAACCTCCAACCTGCATTGTCTCTGTGGAATCATTCTGGATATTTCATATAAATGGAGTCCTATAGTATGTGACCTTTTGTGTCTGGCTTCTTTCACTGAGCATAATGTTACTTCCTCCCCCCCACTCCAGTGGGGGGGGGGCAAGGGCTAGAGAGAGAGGGAAGAGGTAGAGAATCCCAAGCAGGCTCTGAGCAGTACATGCAGAGCCTGACATGGTGCTCGATCTCACAAACTGTGAGACCATGATATGAGCTGAAACCAAGAGTCAAACACTTAACCAACTGAGCCACCGAGGGGCCCCTGGCATAATATTTTTGAGGTTCATCCACACTGTAGTATATATCACAACATCATTCCTTTCTGTGGCTAAATATTCCATTGCATGTGTATATTACAATGTGTTTATCCATTCATCTTGATGGACACTTGGGTTGTTTACACTTCTTGGCTATTGGGAATAACGGTGAGTGAATGCATGTGTGCATGCATGTTGTTGGATGCTGTTTTCAATTTGGGGGCAAATACCCAGGAGTAGAATTGCTGGGCCTTGTGGTAATTCTTAACACTTTTGAGGAACCGACAAACTGTTTTCTACAGTGGCTGAATCATTTTACATTCTCAAGGAAGAGTCTGTATCAACTTGAGCTTTTTTCCATTTCTCTTCATGCTAATAGTCTTTATATTGTTTTCCTTAATCCTCTTGCTTCCTGCCAGTGATAGCAGATAATAGTTTCCTGATTAACTGAGAGCTCCATATAAACATAAGTACTACTAGTCCATAACCCTTAATACAATGCGTCTGCATAGCTTTGAAGGTGGAAGTAGTTAGCAGCAGTGGACGGTGGTAAGAGATGAGCAGGGCCTGACTGCTATCTCTCAAGAGAAGGGACCCTGTCTAATTCACGTAGTTATCCATCTTAATCCCTCGAACAGTTATAATTAAAGATCTCTTCAGACTCTAGAAACTTCAGACTCTAAGGAGTGACCGTGGTAGTTTTCCTCCTCTAATAATCTCCTCTTCTACAATGAAATGTCAAACTTTTGCTGCAGTTTTGTCTCCCTCTGTTAGGCCATATTAGGGAATCAGGTATCAATTAGACATGAGGGGATCAAAGGAAGTCCCTTTTGCTGGTAGCTAAGTGCCCACAGGTGTGGACCAAAGTCATGTTCTGTGGTCATGTTCATGGCATGCTGGGAGATAACACTGCATATTTCATACTGAGCTCTGTGAGGCTAAAGATGAACTGATACACCCTCACAGAGAAGTACTAGAAAACTCGACTCTAGGGTGTATGTTCATGGGAATGTGTCTGTCCTCACCAAATTCTTTTGTCTTTACCAAATGTCACTTCTCAAGTAAACCTAAAGAGATGTCTTCATATTAAAGGTAATTGGAGGTGACAGATGAAATTTTAGTCTTAAGAAAATTTTGGTATTTTTATATTAAATCTTATATAAACTTGGATTTCTTTATAGGTGCCAAAGAACGTTCTGAGATCTATGAAGCATTTGAAAACATCTATCCTATTCTAAAAGGTTTTAAAAAAGCCTGAGTACGTCATTCAACCATTCAGCATCTCATATTATATTGGTTTGAGTATGTGCATCAGCTCAGCACACCAATATGTGCATTTAGACTTTATTTGTTAAAGGATGATTCTATGAGTATTCATGCCTAAGAACTAAAGAAACTTCATTTTCAAAATGACACCTATATTATTTTTGAAAGCTGAACAAGTAAACATTTCAGAATTTGAGAGATTGCTAGAATGATAATGTTCAATCATTAAAACGTAACGTTCTGCTTTTGCTAAAGATATAGTGTATTAACATGTACCCTGCAAATATATAGCGATATATAGGAATTTCAGATAACTGCATAAAATAGATCGTATCTGCAATATCATCTAGCAGGATAGAAACTATTGTGTCTATTTTCTCCTTTTAAAATATTGAGTAGATGGTCCTGGCCATTAGATACAGGTACCATGAAGGATCCTGTCAGAATACAAATGAGACTTGACAATTTAACACCTTAAGACAAATTAAATATCTTTTTGTCTGAAATTATAGAGGAAATTAGTCCTCTTGTTTAAAAATAAATTTTCAGGAACCATTCAGGTTTAGTGTCAGCTCTATTTTGAAAACAGTTTAGGGACTTCTTTTCTGTGTGTGCTTTTATAATTCTGTGTCATTGTATTCCAATAGACCAGGTAAAATTAAGAGAATGGAGCAAAGGTTTCAGATTCAAGACCTAAATAGATTGTGGAAGCCTCAGGGAGGGATGGGACTAACATTGCTCTTGTTCCCAAGTGGTCAGGGATTGAGGAAGAGTTCAGTTTCTGACATGCTGAGTTTATGGTGGCCACTGTACATCCCTTTATGCTTCCTAGGGAGTTGTGAATGTCTGGGCGTGGAACTTGAAAGAGAAGTCCCACATAGAGAAATCAGAGGAGTCATCAGTTGACAGCCTACCAAAATAATCCTGGAGAATCACTGGTGTACGGAAATTGACCTATAAACATACTTTTTTTTTTTTTTCCCTTTTGTAGTTTGGAAGCATTTTCCAACTTTATTCTGACTTCATCCTCCCACCCACCCTATTACCTACACAGAAAGTAATCTAGAGTAATCGAATTAGGTTAAATTTTACCTAATTCAAATTCTCAGAGCATGGCCCAGAGTAGAAGAATGTTGGACATTAATTTAAAATTGTTTTCAGAAAGACAACTTTGATTTCTTTGGTACGATTGATTCAACTGATTCGCTATTATCAGTAAAGTACGATCAGATTACTAACAGGTTACTGTTAAGCGTATTTTTAATCCAACCTTTGGTAGGTACTGTTAACTGTCTCCACTTAGCAGATAAGAACACGAGTACAGATCCAAATCCCAAAGCTATCGGGGAGGTGGGTGAGCTGAAACACCATCTCTTTTCAAAACCTAACCCCCTCGCCCAACTTTGCTGTAGTTTTAGCCAAATTTAAAAGCACCCATAGCGAATTAAAGAAATTCTGACTTTGCTCCCATTCCTTTTCCCCAAATTCCCTAGGGCAGTGTATTACTATTTCTTGCACAAGTTTGAGGCGTTCACTTGTAGCTCTGGCACGACCAAGAGGATGATGACATTTTCTTTGGCCGGCCCGTCCCTCTAACACAATTCTCCCCGCTTGGGGCTGGCTGCCCCTCAGGCGATCAGGAAAAGCGGCAGCGCCGCCCGCCAGCCCGCCTGGCCGACAGCTCGGAGAGGCTGGGCGAGGGGCGCGCCGGGACCCCGCCCGCCCTCTCGGCACCTCCCGAGGCCCCTCCTCCTCGCCCAGGATGCACCTGGTTGAAAACAAAATCCCACGTGACTGGCTCTGCTCTCAGGCCATCATGGCGTCTCCCAGTGGGAAGGGAGCCCGGGCGCTGGAGGCTCCTGGCTGCGGGCCCCGGCCGCTCGCCCGGGACCTGGTGGACTCCGTGGACGACGCGGAGGGGCTGTACGTGGCGGTCGAGCGTTGTCCGCTGTGCAACACCACCCGCCGGCGGCTGACCTGCGCCAGGTGCGTCCAGAACGGCGATTTCGTCTACTTCGACGGCCGCGACCGAGAGAGGTACGGCAGCTGCCCCGGCTCTATTGTTTCTTTCCTGGGTGTTTCCTCCCGTTCGGCGAATAGAGAGGTTTGAGTCTAGGGCCTGGGTCCGGGGCCCGGAGCGAGGAGGGGGAAATGGGGAGGGTAGCTGCTTTGCGCCGGCGCTTTACTCCCAGGGGTCAGGGTCGGGGGGTGGGGACCAGATGAGGGAAGGTCGCGGTTTACCTATAACCCACGGGAGAAGAGTCCGGGGTGCTCCTGGGTAGATAAAGATAAAGGGTTAGATGGTGACTCTTGATAAGTCTTCCCCTATTACTCTCATAGAGTTGGATTCTCGGTACTTTGCTGCACTTCATTCAAAAGCTTGGTTTAACCTTTATCTTCTAAAGCACATTCTCTAGAGGAGACACCAGAAGAGAATCAGATAACTGGTTACGAAGGATTCGGGGGTCGTGATACCCTGTGTCACAGCTGGATCTTGTTATGAGGCACGATTGTTCTGATGTATGAATTAGGACTAGCTAGTTGCTTTCTTTCCCCCCTCTGCCTCCAAAGATGCTAAGGCTTTTGGCGATATATTTTGGCTTTCTTTAAAAATCCAGACTGGGAGCCGCAAGCCCTTAAGAAAATTGAATTTAGGAACATATTTTGGCCTTGTTTTGAAATTTAAACACAGAGCTACAAGTCCCTGGTTAAGATGATTGAAAAATTAGTCCGATTAACTGCAGGGTCTCAACGTTTGTTTCAGTGATTCAGTGTTATTGATAGTAAGGAAAGTTTGAGCGTTGAAGTCTAGGTATTAATTTATTTACAACAGCCCAGTATGTTAATTATCTCCAACTTACTATTGAGGAAGCTGCACAGTAAGTGCCTCGCCTTGGTCACACAGATAATGAGCATAAGGATCAGAATTAAAATCCAGGCAGCTGAACCCATATATTGTGCACTTAACCACTGGATTGTACCGCCTCTATATTTAGAAATATTTTGAGTTTCTAGTACTTCTTTGGTCATAAATGGAGTTTGTCTTTTGGGATTTATATATCTTTTTAGTTCATTGCTGTGTCTCATTGATGCACTTGATGACTTCAGAAACTGCTGGTGTAATAAGTGATAGCTTTAAAAATGAACCCAGTTGCTTTATTATAAGACTACTAGGCATGAGATAGAAACCACTAACTGATGGAGTTTATTAAGGCTTCAGTTCTGGACTGTCTTCTCTGTCTGTACTTTTTCCCATATACGTTCTCATGAATGCTAAAGACTGCTTGACTTGTATCTCCAATCCAGACCTCTCTGAAATCCAGTAAATAGCCGCCTGCTCGGCATCAGTCTCTAAATTTGTAATAAGTAGCTCCATCTTAATATGGTAAACTCATGGTTTTCTATGATAAATCTGTTCTTTACATGCTCATGTACCAACCCAATAAATGGTAACCTCATTCTTTTTTGATACATGTCAAAAAACCCTGCCTGCCTTTCTTGACTTTTCTGTCAACGCCACCATATCTAATCCCATCGGCAAATCCTGTTTGCTCTTTTAAACCTGTCTAAATCTGACCGTTTCATTAGCTCCTGGTGTGATCAGAGGATTATTGACTGTTGAGTTTCTGCTTCCACCCTTGCTTCCTTACAGTGTAATTTCCTTTGTATTGCAGCTGGAGTAACACTACTCTTCTATTCTTCAAATCTTCAATCTTGCAAGGGTTTCCTGTTTTACCCAAAGTATAAAAAAGAAAAGGCAAAATCCTTAATAGAAGTTCCATGTTGTCTCTTCTTCTCTGATCTCTTATTATTTTTTCCCTTACCTAGTCTGCTATACCACCCTGACCTCGTTGCCAGTCCTCAAACATACCAAGAACACTCCGGTCTCGGGGCCACTGCAGTCTTAATCAGACTGCCAGGAACTCTTTTCTCCAAGAAATCTTCAGCCTGCTTCCTTTGTTTCCTTAAGGCCTCTGCTCATACATTAGAGAAACTCTTAACCATTTAATTAAAATAGTAACCTCTTTTTCCACTTAACCTGTTTTGTTATTCTCCATACCCCTTAGCACTATCTTATGGTTTGTGTGTGAATTTGTCTACCTGCCTTCCCCTGCCCCAAGTGATGGAAGCTCTATGAAGATGAAACGTTATCAGTTTTGCAGATTGCTTTCACATAATAGAAGCTTAATAAAGATTTGTTGAACAATTGAGTGACTATCTCTTTTTCCTAAACTTAGTCTGATCCTAAACCAGTTCATATTATCCATCATGATCCATTTGTTACTAAATCCAGAAACCTAGAATTTGAGACTTGCCCTTTTTTCTTATTCTGTGTATCCAAATCATTGGCAAGGCTAATTTGGTCTGCTCCGTAATAGATCCTGAATTGGTTTACTTCTTGTCTAGACAACCATCATTTCTCTCCCAACTGCTTATTGATTTCCTTTCATTTAAGCATACAACTCCTCCACACAGCAACCGCAGTAGAAATGTAAATCAGATAATGTCACAGTTTTGTTTAAACTTCTCAGTGGCTTTCCACTGCATTTAAAATAAAATTTAAGCTCCTTAATGTGGCATTTAAAGCTCCATTTGATTTGTCTACTGTTTATCTTCTAACTTTGTAAGTTTGAGTTAAAGTGTGGGCTTTGGATGCATGCTGCATTGAATCAAATCCACACTCTACTACGTGCTTTGTGGTTTTGAACAAGTTTTTTAACCTCTCCGATGCCTGTTTATTTTATTTTGAAAAGGGGGTGGGGAGACCTCTAACTTCATAGGTTTGGTAGTGATCACGTAAGAGCATGCGTTAAAGTACTTAGCGTGACGTCTAGCATATATTAAGCATTTAGAAAAGAAACTTCTGCCATGCTCCTTCCTATTTCTCCATAGTCCGGGACCTTCTCTCAAATCCTCAAACACATGAAACCTTTTCCACAACTGGGCCTTTTCCCTTATTGTTCCTTGTGCCTGAACACTTTTCCTCCTGAT